ATACCAAGGGATTATGAGTCCCCTCCTCATCTCTCAAAACAAACACGCCATATAGTAGTCCCACCTCACTATGAATCTCAATCCCCTCCCTATAACCCCAAACAAACGGGGCCCTAGGTCTCAGGTTCAACTCTCACTAGGTGTTATCAACTCCTTGTGGCCACACCTGCGGGCTCTACCCGAGATTTACTTGATCCATGTGGGGAGGGCATTTTGCATGGATTCCGAAATTAATTAAAGTGCACGTAAACTGATCCAAACATCTGGTGCATGGATTTTGAAATTAATTAAGGTTCACGTAAACTAATCCGTTTATGGGGTCATAAAAATAAAAAAATTATTTTAATCTTTTTCATTTTATTTTCATAATATATATAATTTTTAATATAAAATTTTAATTTTATAACATTAATATCATTGAAAATATACCTTTAAAATGAGATTAATATTAAATATATTTAATAAAAATTTAAAATAAATAAAAACTAATTACGATGTTTAGTTATGTTTTCAAATTATTATTTTTTAAATATAAAAATTAATTTGATGAAATAAATACACAAAAATCATATATTTTTGAAATTCTCAAAAACAATTTTCATTCCAAAAAAAATCATATGAAAATAATAACTTTTAATTTAATTTTATTAACCAAACGAGTTTATAATTTTTTTTAAAGAAAATAAAAAATTTCAAAAATATAACTTTTAACTCGTGTTTTAAAGAAAATAAAAAATTTACATCTATGCACAAAAGTCATTATTTTCATATATATTTTTTGGAATGAAAATTATTTTGGAGAATTTAAGAAATATATAATTTTTGTGTGTTTATTTTCATCAAAATAATTTTTATATTTAAAAAATAATACTTGGAAAGCATAACTAAACATAGTACTGTAATTACCTTTTATTTATTTTAAATTTTTATTAAATATATTTAATATTAGTCTTATTTTAAAAGTATATTTTCAATGATATTAATTTTATAAAAATTAAAATTATATATATATTATGAAAATAAAATGAAAAAGATTAAAATAAATAATTTATTTATTTTTTATTAAAATGTGATAGGGAATGAGTATGTGTGATTTTAATTTTTTTTTTTTGTTAGAATGTGATATAGAGAGAGGGAGTGTGAGTTGTGAGTGTGTGTGTGTCAGTGACGGAGAGAGTGTGTGCGCGCGCTGTAACTTGTAAGTGTGTGTGTGTCACTGGATGTGTATTGTTTTTGTTTAAAGAAATAAATCTGAACCGTTTATTTCTTTATAAGTGATGTGGTTTTATCTGAACCGTCGCCGGAGGGAGAAGTTAGTGAGGATCCGGACTCTTCTTATGGGATAGCACTACACCATTTTTTAGACATATATAACAAAGTAGTTGACCCATATGAATCGAAATTCATTCTGTTCTCATCTACAAATCCCAATTCCTCAAATCTAAGCATAGTTCAATTCCAAGTCTGGTGACTCTTCTTTGCATAACAAAACTATGCAACTCAAAGGTAATACTTTCTCTCTCTCTCTCTCTCTCTCTCTCTCTCTCTCATAGTAGCAGCAGCAACAGTAACAATATTCTCTCAAATTCTATCTTTAGATGGGCATATCCTTGCACACCTCCTGGCTGCAACCTCCATTGGAGTCATCTCTGCCACTGCGTTTCACTACTACCATCGACAAAAGCCCCCAAAACAGTTAGAAGATCAAACCGTAGTTCCATTGTTAGAGAGGAATGAGTCTGGCCGTGTTGCCAGACTTGAGAGATTCTCCAATTATGTTGGTAAAAAATCTATTCATCTCCATTCTTCTTCTTTTTTTTTTCATAATGTTTTTCTACTTTACAACAACTAAAATGTTTTCTTGTTTTTGTTTTTTGGATTTTGGGGATGGGGATGGATCAGCTAGGCAGATAGGATTTGAAGATGGAAGTGAATGTCCCCAACTTTGCAAATTAGCATATGAGTACCTCAAAAAATCCAAAGAGTGTGAGAGTACTATCTATGAGTATTTTGCTGATGAGCCACATGTTGATGAGCTGTATGTGAAGTTGGTTGAGGAGTTTGATAGGTGCATCCTTGCCTACTTTGCATTTCATTGGAGCCAAGCTTCTCTCATGATCACTCAGGTATATACATATATATGTGTTTATAAATGTTTCAACATAAATGTTTGGTAGGTGAGAGTCATTTTAAATTAGGTCCCACTATATGTGTATGTTTTTATAAATGTTTCAACAACAATATTAGGTAATTGGAAAATTTAATTAGAAAATTACTCAATTTTTTTTTTTTTTTTTTTTTGATGATGGGGATTCATTTCAGGTTGGGCTTTCTGATGTTTGAATTGCTTATTTTTTTGTGTTTTTGCAAATGTTTCAACAGCAATGTTAGGTAATCAGAAAATTTAATTAGAAAATTACCCCAAAAAAATATTAATTGATTGAATTTCATTTCAGATTGAACTTTCTGATATTTCAATTGCTGAATTTTCATTTCTCCGTGAAAATCTTTCATTCATTCTCTTCTTCTTCTTCTTTTATTTTATTTTGGGGATGTGTGAATTGCAGGTGTTGAGTATTGATTCTGAAAAGAAAAAGTTGAAGGACCTTGTGCTGGCAGCTACAAGGTGACCTGTACTTATCTTGCCAACGCATCTGTTGTTTTTCATGAATAATGTTACTTGGAGAGACAGCTAAATTATACAATAATTCAATACGCTTAAAAATATATATATTAAAAATATTTAAAATTTAAAATACATAAATCAACGTCATTTTGACTACAACCCATATCACACCTAATTTAAATTTACAATATAAATTCACTTTTTGAATTATTTGTTAAGTGCATAATATTTCTGCTATAAATTATGTGTCCATTTGGAACTTTATTTTTTTAGTGGTGTGGTGTGTTGTTTGAAATGATTTTTTTAATTAAATAGATAATTGTAGAAGAAAAAATAATTAATTGATGTATATGATATCACGATTTGACTTTTTATTTTTTAAAAAAAAGAGTTAATTTTTTAAACTAAAAAATTGATTGCCAAACGGCCTGTAACAAAAAATTTATGGCACCTTTAATAATTATGTGGGGGAGGTCACGTGCTTAGTCATGTAAAAATAAAACGAAATTAATTGCTCAAGTAGACCTAGAATATTACAAAAAAATTAATTATTTTAAGAACCAGAAGAAGATACACGTGATTAATTAAACAATTGAGGTGGTTTGCAATATTTTAGTAATTTTTAAAATTTTAGAAAGAGATATTTAAAAAATTAGTGAGATAATGTGATTAAAAAAAAATAAAGAGACAATAAATATGTTATTTTAAGAAATGCCAAACAACTTATTAAAATTATATTTTAGGGTACACCATTTTTTTTTGGAAACTAATACGTCAACGCTTACGAAATTAGTATCAATTATTAGAGTTGTGATTAGGACCCCTCATATTCCCACCCCCACCACCCCACAGACACGTGGGGGTTGGTGAGTGGGGGGAAAAAAAAAAAAAAAAAAAAAAAAAAACAATTTCAACCAATCAAAAGGCAAAGGGGGTCGTGGGGTCCCTTGGAAATGGGGTCTCACTCTTTTTTGCAATTATTAATGTTATTGCAATTGTCTTACTTTCGCTTTTAGGGAGAGATACACCTGTCTTACTTTTATCTGTATTGCTATCGTCTAATCTACTAATCAACAAAATAATCACCATCAACAAATACAGATATTTTCCTACTTAAAAAACAAATGAGTGGAGATATTTTATAATAAAAGCAATAAACATGCATGGAGCATTTTTACTTACCACACTACTTGGTATAAGTTAAATAAATATACTTATTTAAAAAAATATACTTATTTAAGTCAGGTCTTGTTTGACAAGTGATTTATTTAGTCAAAAAATTAAAAAATTATTAAAAAAAATAAAAAAGCTAACAACTTATATAAAAAAGTCAAAGATTTTCTTTTCTCTCTACTTTTTGCACATCTTTTCGTAAAAAGTTATCCTAAACATATTAAGTTTTTTTAGCTCATATTTTAGTCAAATAATCAAAAAATTACTAAATTAACATATTCCCAAACAAGGCCCATATTTTTTTTTTTAGATAAGTGCATATCTTTTTATAAAAAGTTAAAAAGTATATTTAGGGGTTATTTGGGATGATCTAAATAAGTGTATTTTTTATCTTTTTATGAAAAGATGTGTAACAGAGTAAAAAGGTGATGTGATGAAAAAAAGATAAAAAGATAGATAATCTCAAACAATCCAAAATCCAATTCTTTTCAAATTGAAAGAGACATCCCACCTCTTTATTAGATGCCAACTAACGAGGCTGTAACTTATTTGGACTCATTTTAGTGAATAAAATTATTTATTTTTTTATGTAAATTATTCAATTTGTATGCTTAGTTAAGTAAACTATTCATACATTAAAGTAACTTGATCGGATCGGATAGTATTAGGGGTTTTTTGGAGTGTCTTAAATAAGTGTATTTTTTTGTCTTTTTAGACTAAAAAGTTGAGGTTGAAAATATGAATATTTGTGTTTACTTTTTGACTTTTTATAAAAAAATATGTATTAAAAAATTGATTTGTAGAGGAAAATTGGAATTGAGAAGTTGTGCAGCCGTAAATTGTTTGACTTTTGGTGAATAGTATTAAACTTTTTAACGTTTTTGAGTAACTTTTTGGTGTTTTTAACTTTTTGGCTATATGCAAACTTGGCCTTAGTTAGTAAACTATTCATACATTAAGTAACTTGATCGGATCGGATAGTATTAGGGTTTTTTGGAGTGTCTTAATAAGTGTACTTTTTTGTCTTTTTAGACTAAAAAGTTGAGGTTGAAAAATATGAATATTTGTGTTTACTTTTTGACTTTTATAAAAAAATGTGTATTAAAAAATTATATAAATTAATGTGTAGGGAAAAAATAATATAGGGTTGTGCAACCGTAATTGTTATGACTTTTTAGTGAATATTAATAACTTTTTAACTTTTTGAGTAACTTTTTAATTTTTTAACTTTTTTGAAACTTCCTAAACTTGACCTTAATAACGTAGTGTTCCCGATCATGTAGTACCAAGATTGTATTAATCACTTAATTATTCAAAAAAATTATTTTAAGATTACTCTAAAAAAGTTTGAAAATCTTGTCAAAGAGTAGCCCAAGTAGGCTTAAATTTATTTATGACGTACTCTGTCAGTGTCACATGAGACAATGAGTAATTGCTCGTTATTTATTTACAAAATATTGAAAATGAACCAGTCTGTAAACGATTCTGCAAGTTAACGAATGGTTTAAAATTAAAAGAATACAGTATACCCGTTAAATTAAAAAAAATCAATAATAAATTAAAATTGTTAAATTAAAAAAATCAATAATAAATTAAAATTTATAAATAGATATAAATTTTTTAATAAGCATATGATTTTAATATGGGTAAATTTAAAATGAGACATTGAGGTTTGACTAGGCATTGTTTGGGAAGGGCTAAAGTGACTATTTTAGCTATAAAAGACAAAATATGTTATTTTAATGACAAAATATGTTATTTTAGTCACAAAAAATAAAATATCACATCCAATTCATAATCATTAAACTCTTCTTTCACAAAAAATGTCAAAAAAGTCAAAAAATCTTTCTCAAATTAAATTTTTTAACCCAAATTAAAATAGTTAAAAAAAATTAAAAAATCAAAAAATCTACCCATTTTTCAAACGGAGGCTAAATGGTTTAGTACTTCAGGATATGGTGAGAGAAGATAAAAGGTTCCCTCCGATTGAGCAATGACAATCTTTTTCTTAAGTGATATTATCTTTCTATTTTTTCTGCATAATTTTTTTATTTTTATTTTTATAAAAAGTTAAAAAATCAGTCATATACAAAACAAGCCTAACATACGATATCTTTTATAAAAATAAAAAATAAAAATCCAAAATGATACATAGAAAAAAAGTAAAGATAAATTACTAATAGATTCTAATAATTGGACTTAATTTTTATAAAGTTTTATTGAAAATAAATCCTAATAAAATCGTTGCTAAAAATAATTTTTTATGACAATTTTTTGTATTTGTCTCTAAAAATTGACAATTATCAACTTTTTTGTCACAATAAATTGGCGATAAAACTTATAATTGGTGACGTTTTTCTGTGATAAATTTTTTGAACTGTCGTTAAAAGTTAAAAATTAGTGATATTTTTTTAAACTGTCGCTAAAACTTATAATTAATGATATTTTTTGTGTCAATTTTTTTTAACTATCACTGAAAATTAACAATTAGTGATATTTTTTTATAGTAATTGATGAAAAATATCATTAATTATCATAAGACCTGTTGAACTATAAGTCTACCTATTACGACCTACACGTAAGTTTCTTTAAAAAATACAATAATTACATTGCTCACGTAATGTTTCAGGTGTATTGTGATTGATAGAATGGGTAAGACTCACAATTTTGAATTGAATGATTGGGAATAAGAAGAGACATGAGGATTTGTAATTAGTCGGGACATGGTCACGTGGTACTCGTAGACCTAGGGTTGCAACTCGGACAGGTTCGAGTGGGTTAAGACGTTGTCCAAGCTCAATCCAAATTGTGCTGAGAACTGCCCAGGCTCACCTAAGCTTGAATTGTAACTCGAGATTGTTTGCCCAAATCCGACCAGAGTTAAACCTGAATTGCACTTAAATTTCAAGGTTTTTATTTAAATTTTTTTTTTATTTTTTAATGCAGCTAAGTTAATTAATTTGTTAAAATTAGACTATTTATATATATATATATATATATTTATAAAATCATTAATAATATAAAAACAAATCATTTATATAATGTAAGAGATATGCTGTTATGATAGTCTTTATAATTTATGAGTCAGAAAAAAAAAGAGTAAAATTTTATATTGTGTTACTTATGTATATAATATATATTCAATATGATCTAATGATCTAAATTACTTTAATATCATCTAATGGTTATTTATTTATATGTATATTCAATATTATATATATATATATATATATATATAAAATTTGGGTTTGGTTTTGAATTGTTCAAATTGTTTAATATCTTTGTGTAAGGCCACCTAAATTTAATTCGGACTTTAAATTTTTGTTCATGGAAAAGTAGAGCGTACTTTTATGACATTCGTGTTATGAGCAGCTGATTGTCTCCTGTCTTTTCTTGGACTCCCAGGAAGGCTAATCGTGTGGCCCACTGGCTGGCCACAGCTCATCTCAATGGCTCCCACGCTTAGACTGGGTTAGGAACATACCTTTCGTTGTTAAGGTCCTCCTGGCCGCTGATGTTGCTTTGTAGCCTGCTGGCCTTTATCAGTTCAAAAATAAAAAATAAAAAATAAAAAAATAGTTGGATTAATAAATTGGAGAGAAGTTTGATACTTTTAAATTATATTAGAAAGTGTATTTAAAATTTGTCATTACAGTTTATAGATCTGTAATTATAAATTTAATGTAGTTAAATAAAGTAATATAAAAATAATAATTATTAAAAAGGGGTAATATAAAAGTATAAAATCTATAATGTTGATGTCAAGAATCCTATTAGCTGTACATAATAATATTTTAATTTCACAAACTCAAGTTTTTAAACCTATTTTCCTATCTGTGTTATTTTGGGACTTTTGTGAAGTCATATTTTTATTACATTTTGAAAATTTGACCTCATTAAAATTGAGTCTTTCAAAACTCGATTTCAATTAATTTTTTTTTTTAAATTGTGTTTTGAAAGTACAATTTCAAATTTAAAACTGTTATGTTTTGAAAATAGGAAATAGTGAATCAGGTTGACTTTAAAGGATAAATTTACATCAATTTACATTTAGATTTTTTTTAAAATAAAAAGGATAAATTACTTTAACTTTTATTGAGATTTGAAGAAAACATATTGTGCATGTTTGACAGAACTTAAAAATAGTTTATTTCAGCTTTCAACTTAATTTAAGCTATTTTGATGTGTTTGGTTTAGCTTATAGCTTATAGCTTATAGTTTTTTGGAAGTCAGAAATCAGCTTATTCTTTGAGTTCAATTAATTTTTTTTTTTAAATTGTGTTTTGAAAGTACAATTTCAAATTTAAAACTGTTATGTTTTGAAAATAGGAAATAGTGAATCAGGTTGACTTTAAAGCATAAATTTACATCAATTTACATTTAGATTTTTTTTTTAAATAAAAAGGATAAATTACTTTAACTTTTATTGAGATTCGAAGAAAACATATTAAGCCTTACAAGTTTGGCATAATTAAATTAAATTTTCTTAAATTTTAATTCATATATAACAATAATCTTCTTTCATCAATAATTCATTATTCACATCGATAAAAAAAATATTATTATCATTTATTTTTACACTCAAATATATATGTTACTTTATTTATTTATGCCTTTACGCAATTACCCTTTTTAAATGATCCAATTTGTAGTTATTAAAGAAACTGATTTTTATTTTTGTTATTATTAATTTTTTTGGGGTTTGGGTTTGATAGGAAACGAAGGTTTGAGAGGGTAAGCAACGACCTGAAAGTGACAAAGGTGTTCTCTACACTGGTGGCGGAGATGAAAGCAATAGGTAGCATCGGATCAAATGGTGATTCATCAAAATGTACGGACGTGATGGTGCCTGTGGTCCACAGTAAGAGGAGTCCAGTGCTACTTCTGATGGGTGGTGGAATGGGAGCTGGAAAGAGCACTGTCCTCAAAGACATTCTCAAACAGTAATTCACATCACCAACCTTTCTTTCCTCTAATTACATGAGCTAAAAGGTGATAACAATTTTAGGCCAAATTACAAATTTGTTTAAAATACGAATTGTTTCTTACTGTTTTGAAAATTACATCCCGTCCATTGAAGTTTTTATTTTCTTAATAAATAGTCTATTTTGTTAATAAATTATCAAGTCCATTAACAATTTTTAATAATGTAAGAAATTTATTTCAATTAATAATTCAAGTAATTTTATTATTGTATAAATGAGCAGTTAGAAATTTTATTTTTTCAATTAATTTTGTTAAATAAAAAATTCTGATAAGGAAATATTTGTAAGTTTCCAAACCATAAGGGACAATCTATATTTTAAACAAACCTCATGAGGTGTATTTGTAATTTATCCATGATTTTAATATTGCTTTAACTTTGGTTTAATTAATGCAAAATGTTTTGTTAAGGAGATTAAATACACCTAAATGTTTCAAGAATTTTAGACTAGAAATCCTACTTTAAAATTAAAAAAAAAAAATCAAAAAATCCACTTGACAACAAAAACTAGTTAATTACTCCAAAAGACTTCTTTAGCAATTAGCAAATATAGCAAATATCATTTTATTTCCCTTGTCTATAGACTTGTATATTTTGATCCATCAGTTATTAAAAAAAAGAAGAAAAAAGAAAAAAAAGAGTAGTAGTAATACTCTCTTTTGGATGATGAAAGTGATTTGTTTATATAGTTAACAGAATCAAAATGTATGAGTTATAGGCTACGGATAAAGTGATATTTATTAATAATTGATAATTTTTTTAATGTAACGAACCCCTAAAATTTTGATTTAATAATGGGAAAATTGGCAGATCAATTTGGTCGGAGGCAGCAGGGAATGCAGTGGTGGTAGAGGCAGATGCTTTTAAAGAAACAGATGTCATTTACAGAGCCCTCAGTTCCAGGGGTCACCATGAGGACATGCTTCAAACTGCTGAACTAGTATTCCACTCTTTCTCAACTATTACTAGACACAAAAATTAATACAACCCATATTAATAAATTTACCACAAAAAAAAAAAAATCATTTATGTATAGTGTTTTTTTATAGAGTTAATTCATGATTAATAACATATTACTTTGAAAATAATTGATCAGGTGCATCAATCATCAACAGATGCAGCATCATCGCTTCTGGTTACTGCACTCAACGAAGGGCTCGACGTGATCATGGATGGTACCCTGTCATGGGAGCCCTTCGTTGAGCAAACGATAACCATGGCTAGAAATGTTCACAAGTATCGGTACAGGATGGGAGTCGGTTACAAGGTTGCTGAAGATGGCAGCATTACTGAAAATTATTGGGAGATGGTAGGAGAAGAAGAGGAACAAGAGAAGCAAGAAGAAGCTGAGAGGAAGCCATATAGAATAGAATTGGTTGGAGTTGTTTGTGATGCTTATCTTGCTGTTGTTAGAGGCATCAGGTATGTTACCAAAGTTAAAATGACTTGAACACCATGTTGGTTTTTCATTTTAGGACTAATTGCACCAATGATTATTAAAATATATATTTCATTACATTTTAGTTCTCAATTTTGTCAAATTTGGCTGTCAAACTATTTAAAAAGTTCTAGTGTTGACGGTGTCCAAAATTAATAACTGCAGTGGGATATTTTTGTAAGTCCATGGGTTCATTAGATAAGAGAAACAAATGCGCATAATTTCAATACATTAACAAAAGTTCCTAAAATACCCCAATTCTCATTATTAATTTTGGACATTGCCAAGATTGTGGACCATTTAAACTCACGATAAAACCATTGATGTAATTAGTTCATTTTACTTTTATTATGAACCCATAAAAGTGTCCCCCCCAAAAAAGAAAGTGTGAACCAAGCCAAATTTGATTCTACATCATATATTTTATTTTTTGAACACTCTTCTGTATAGTTTTTCAGCTTTTTCTTTTCCCTCTACCTTTTCATTTACATAATCCTGAAATTTTTGATTCCAAAACAGGAGAGCCATACATACAGGAAGGGCAGTGAGGGTAAAGCCACAATTGAAATCACACAAGAGATTTGCAAATGCATTTCCAAGATATTGCAGCCTTGTTGATAATGCAAAGCTTTACTGCACCAACGCTGTGGGAGGCCCACCCAAGGTAACACTGGATTCAATAATTCTTTGCAAGTCCATATCATTTTCATACCTTTTTCTTTCTTTCTTTTTCTTTTCTTTTTTTTTTTGTACAAAATAATTTTCCAAAATTCGGAACACAATTTTTGTTGTTTTTTGAAAGTGGGTTGTTTTTATAACTTTTTTTCTTCTTGAAAACTGCTTTCGAAAACAATTGGCCAAACAAGTGTTTTTTGAAAAACGATTTTTTTTTATTAATAATATTGTAAGTTGTAATAGTATAATTTACTGAATAAGATTGGTGTAAAAATGCAGTTGATAGCATGGAAAGATGGAGAGAACAATCTGCTGATTGAGCCGAATGAAATCAAATGTTTGAACACAGTAAGCAATTTAAACGATGATGCAGACTCCATCTACGAGCTTTATGCGCAACCAGACCTACACAAGCCCGGTTCAGTCTGGAAAGACATTGTTTTGGTACCTTCAAGAGCCAGCCTTCAAATGGAGCTTAAGACTGCCATTCAAAAAGTAGAAAATTTAAATAAATAAATAAATAAATAGTTTTTGCAAAACCATTGCAGATTGCTTCTTCAATAGAAAAGCAATACCAATTGTGCCAACTATACTTGTCTATGTTTTACTAATGTTGGGATTGTTTTGAGTTCTATTTTTGTGGGAATTCAAACACCAAGAGAATTGTAAAGATAGTATTTATTTTTCCAGCTTGAAATTGCTTACAACAATGTTTACCAGTTTTAATGATGGGGAATGTTAGAATAATTAAATTTGTGTATTAAATTTATTTGACATTTGACGTGCCACCTTATATGTCATTGATACAATGCATAGAGGATGACATCTATTACACCGATACAGTGATAACATGACAAATAATAAGTAAATTTAATAATAAAAAATTAATAATTATTGAATTTTTCTTTATTATGTAAAAGGTTCAGAATCATGACATGAAATCAGAGCATAGGTTCCCCAATAGATTGGTCCAAATGTTGGTTATGAATCATGAAAAATTTATCTTGACTTTTAATGAAAATTGAGTGTGTGGTGTAGATTTAAAATTAATTTAATGTGAGTCACACACCCATAATAAAGATAGATCATTCACTCTGTTTGATTTGAAATTTTTAAAACCAGTTTTCCGAAATTTTAATTCGTATTTTTATTTTATTTTTTAGTGAGTTTTTTTTAACATGCTATTATTATTATTTTTACCTTTTAAATTTATTTAATCTAAATATACTTAAAAAGTACAAATTTTGAGAAATTTTTTTTTAAAAAATTCATTGAACACAACAAAATATGAAAATGTACTGAATTTTTGTATTTTTTTAATTTAAAAAAAAATTACACAAATTTTATACTTTTAAGTGTATTTAGATTAAGTGAATTTAAACAGTAAAAAAATTAATTACAATATAAAAAATCCAATAAAAGAATACCAATTAAAAAATTAAAAATTTATTTTTGAAAACTCCAAACTAACGTAATTAATTTTTTTTAAAATTTTTTTGTAAATCAGATTTAGATTTTTTTTTTTATTATGAGTTGCCAAGGCAAAGTCACACTATTCAGACCGGGCCCAAACTTCATTAGAATCGTGACACAAAGTTCGGTCGGACCAAAAGCCCAATCTAACTTCGCAAATATGGGCTAGCTAGGCTAATGTTTTGCTGGGCTTAGATCCACTGAGTTTCACCCACAGATATATACACAAACCTCCTCAGAAGCCCTAGCCGCGTCTCATCGTTCCTCTTCAGATTAGGGTTTGGCGATTCTTTCTCCAGCCATGGTGAGTTCTCATCTCCAATTCACACACTCTCTCTCTCTCTACCTAACTCCATTCATCAATTTTCAATCTTTCTCTCTCTACACATGTCTGTATACGTATAACTGTATGTTGTATTGGTGCATGTGTTTGTTAGGCGGATGTTGAAATGGAGATAGCAGCAGGACAACCGAAGAAGAGGACATTCAAGAAGTTCAGTTTCAGGGGCGTCGATTTGGACGCTTTGCTCGATATGTCCACAGATGAGCTTGTTAAGCTCTTTACCGCTCGAGCTCGCAGAAGGTGATTTACATTTGTATGTATGTATGTTTTGTGTTGTATGTATAGTTTTTGTTGCATTGGTAGTTGCTTTGATTCATTTTTTATTTTTTATTTTTTGTGTTTGGATAATTTAGGTTTCAGAGAGGTCTGAAGAGGAAGCCCATGGCCTTGATCAAGAAACTCCGCAAAGCGGTAATGATTTGTTATGTTACTTTGATTTGATTTGTACTTGGATGTTGTAATTTTGACCTGAAATCTGTCGTTTGAGTATGTGATTGTGATTGTGATTGTGATTGTGATTGTGATTGTGATTGTGATTGTGATTGTTTTGTTCTAGGTATAGGTCTCTTTTTGATTTGGTAGTAAGTTTTAGATTAATGCTTGAGGCCTCGAAATTCTTTTTTTTTTTTTTTTGCTGTGTGTTGGTTTTTTTTTATCTTTCAGCGCATTGGCTTGATATGAAATGCATAGATACTATCCCTCCATTCTTTTTTTCCATGATTCTCCTGAATGCTTGTTTCACACTACGGCTTGTGTTATTTCAATACGTGGCGAGATGAATGCTTCTGTTGTTGTCAAAAGCTTGGATATTTCGGTGGCTGCATTCTTTAGGTATTGTGGATGTCTGTCATTCTGTGGACCATTGTGAATCTGTGGTGGACATTACACTTTATTCAGAAATAATTAAATAATTAAGTGGAATTGTTTCTGGTTTTGGGGTTTTACTTCTTGGTGGTCTGAGATATTGAGTAGTTTACTTCTGTCTTAAATATATGTATGATCTTTCTATTAGCTGGTGTCTCAGATGAAATTGAAAGGTGCACTCTGCAGCCTAGTGATTAGTTATTGCGACGCTTGGACTTTCATTTTGTTTTTTATTTTCAATTATTATTTACCAAGAAAAATTGAAGTTAGATGTGAACTACTTGTTATTTACCAATAATAAAGTCATTAATCTTGGATATGATTTGTTTTGATGTTTTAAATTAGAAACGGGAGGCTCCTCCTGGTGAGAAGCCAGATCTTGTCAAAACTCACTTGCGCTATATGATCATCGTGCCCGAGATGATTGGAAGCGTTATTGGTGTGTACAACGGCAAGACCTTCAATCAAATTGAGATCAAGCCTGAAATGATTGGTCATTATCTAGCTGAATTCTCAATCTCATACAAGCCAGTCAAGCATGGAAGACCTGGTATTGGTGCCACACACTCCTCAAGGTTTATTCCTCTGAAGTGAAGCATCTCTCGGCCATCTAGTTATAAAAGCCCATTTCATTTTCAAGTGATAGCTATGTTATTCAAATTTTGCTTGTCACTATTAGTAACTTAAGTATGTGGCTGGATTTTTATTTAGACCTAAGTCTTTAACAATTTTTAGTTTGAGTTTGTTACTGTGGTTTTGACAGAAGCTTAATTGGATTATTTTTGAGATTTCATTAAAGAGTTTTGTTGAGATTTTAAAGTGCAGAGGCAGTTGTTTTTTGTTTGATTCTTAGCTTCTGTTTGGGAAGTGGGTTGACTTTTTGACTTTTTGGTTTTTTTGGCTATTTTAGCCTGAGCTAAAAAGTTTGGTTTGGGAAGGGCTTTTTGACTTTTTGGCTTTTTTGACTTTTTTTGTGAGAGAAGAATGTAATGATTATGGGTTGGATGTGATGTTTTGTTTTTTATAGTTAAAATAGTCTATTTTATTTTTTGTGACTAAAATAGCCAAAAAAAACCCGGAAAAGCCCTTCCCAAACAGATCCGAAGTCTTGATCTATCTTTATCCTGTACGTTTCTCTTGGATCCTAATTTTGCATTTTCTATAATTTTGAGGTAATTATATAAAAATTTTATTTAATAATGACAGATTTAATGGGGTTATGAATAATGTGTAATTACCATATTTTTCCCCCCATGTAAAAGGTAAATCTAACTTTTTTTTTTTTTTTTTTGGGGGGGGATGAAATTACTACCAATTTATCCCCAACCCATTTTTCTCAACAATTATAATGCAATGACAATAATAATTTTCATTAAATTTAGTTTTGAAATTTCAAAAAATTTCCCACGCAACCCATTTATATAAATAAATTCATATGCCAAAACGTTCATAACAAATAAGTTTCCCATAATCTATTATTTATTTTTTGTTGTAATATGTATACATGCAAGTCATTCACGAAAAACATTAAATAAATCCATATTATCACAGACATGCTAACCAAATCAAGACAATATGTTTGATTAGTCCATATGCAGGTGTTTGTGCTTTCATACAATTCTCAAACCGAACCGGGAGTCTCGTGTTAGAAGTTCTCAATATTTACTTTGGTTCCTATCAAGGCGTTCATGCCAATTTTTGGGCTTTTTTTTTTTTTTTTTTGTGTCAAACCTATGAGTTTAAAAATTGCAGGTTTCACCAAAATCTAGAACAAGGAGTTCTGCTTGCTTAAGTGTTCATGCCAGTTTGTAATGCAAGCTATCACTCAATTTTCAATTGAGAAGCCAATATTTAACCCTTAAATTTCTACAACTTATTTTAATTCCAAGGTGCTTGCATTTATTCTCAAGCATTTTAATAAATCACCGATATTTTTCACATCCAACTCACAATGGTGATGAGTCCCACACAATTGTGACCAGGATTAAAATTACGAGACTTGATGTGGTTTCATGTAGAGACTCATATTATGAATAGTGGGCGGCAACATCACTAACATAATTTTTTTTTTTTGAGGACCACTAACATAAATTAAATGACACTAGATAAGTCCATAATGATACAATTGCAACAGCTGGGTGTACATCAATCCTGCTCAAATTAACTACTCTGTATGCATCAAATAATTCAACCTTCAGAAGGGTCTCAAGCGTAGAGAAGTGTGAGTATGCAAAACCAAGTGCTTTGAAGCATGGAAAGAGGACCAGACCAAACACAAAACTAGACATGCAGTGATCCTCTGAACTTTGCTTGAAATTAACAAGCCATATTTGTACAAAATTTAGGACCGGCTATTACAAGGGAAGCAAGTATCACATGATTTATTTGTGCATATAAACCCTTTGATGTCTCACAATAATTCCTTCAATTTTTTTTTTTTCTTTTCATATTCTTCTTTCAATAAGCTCAACCACTGTATCATTTTCCTCCATTTCATCAACTCTTATACTTGACTCATCAGCAACTGCATATGGCTTATGATTTCCAGGCTCTTCTGACTCCTGATCTTGGAAATCATAGGGAAAATTTGTTTCCAAGTGGTGATTGTGAACTGGGTGATCATCGATTTCATCTTCACCATCATTGTAAGTGTCAGAAGTGTCGAGGTATGCCTCGTCCTCTTCATCCTAAAAAACAAAGAAAAATAAAATAAAATAAAACTGCAAAATTACAAATCAATTATCTGCTTTAACAAGCAAAATGGAATACTGGAAAGGATATTGACCTCACTGTCTTCATCTTCTGTAGGATAAGCAGAATCTAGTTTGTCATAAAGCTCGTCATCTCCAGAGCCTCTTATGAAATCCATCTGTTCCTAAAATTGAAAAGCACAAGAGACAGTTGAGTGAAAAAGATAAATGAAATCTTTAATCCAATCAGCCAATCTAAAGGAGGTAAGGGAGGTAGTACAATTTCAGATCTTAGCTGCCCTGCTCGTGTTTCAAGAGTTGAAATGTGATTAAGGAGAGCCTGTTAGTCAAGAAAATGTAACACAAGTTAAAGACTGTAAAAGCTTTATAAATTTAGCACATGGATGGGATAAAATTAATTTGTAAAATGTTTGGTTAGGATGGCATAAATGATTTTTCTTTTATTTTCTTATTTTTTATTTTTGGGAAGTGATAGATCTGACAAGGAAATAGGCTTATTTTTTATCAATGATATACAAATTTTAAGAAATACCTCGCGCCTTTGGAGCTCAATTGAACGTGCCAAGGCCTTCCGTTTTGTCAAAAGATTTTTTGGCCTCAGTGCAGATGGGCGATGATAGTCCTTTCCCCGGAACACAATTATGGCATACCCCTTGGACACTTTGTCTACTGAGACCAAAACACCTCCACTCTCAGATTCAAGAGAAAGTGCAACATTTTTGACCTGGTCAAAGCTCTTAGCCTTTACGATGATCTTAACCAATTCTCGGTATTTCCAATGCAAGTGCATGTTCTCCACGGTACCATCAAAAACTCCACGTCTACCTGAATAAACAATGCCTCAACTTAATATTTCACAACCTCATAGAAAAAGAATAACAAATATCATATCTGGGAAGCTTCATTTTTTATTTAATTAATTTTTTTTTTTAAATTTTTTTTTACCAAGAAGCAAGAAAGCTTTCATCCTCAAACCAAGCTTGCGGAACATAAACCTCTCCTCGTCAGTTATGCTATCTGGGTCTGCTGGGCAATCTGCTGGTGCTAAAGACTCTTCTACCTTAGATAGGGTCCTTTCCGCTTTCATGAGCTTTCGCTCAGCCTGTTAGAGAATTGATCTAAAGATTCAGACAAACAGAGATATGAAATTGAACTGTCTTTAACTGTGACAACTCCTAGCAAGCAGGCTACATTCTTAGTACAAACCAAAATTTTGAGGAACTTACAAAAGCAAGCTTGCGCTCGAGCTTTCTAACAAGATCGGCATGCCTTAACACCTCTGCTTCTTTCATCACTTTTGCCTTGTCATGATCATCTAGCCTTTTTCCCCACCGAGCATTGGCATCCAATGTTTCCTCAAGTGTACCAGTAGTTCTAGATTCACCATTTATTTCAACATTTGGCATAACCAACGCTGAAGCTTTCAACCGTGCTTGCTCCTCTTCATCTTGCAGGGTCTTTGCCAATCTCTCTTTTTCTAGTAATGCTTCCGCTACCTCTGGTGACAAAAAATTCTTTCCCCTATAGAACACTAAGAAATCCTTGTTTCTTGAGAGAAGCACACTCCCTGTCAATTTCTGCATCCAGTAAATAAGATTATTATCCAAATGTTAAACATGTATCCCACAACATATGCCCAATCAGGTAATCATAAATTTTACATTAAACATATGCATGCAAGCTTTAACTCTCTATTAATCTAAAACAAATTTAGTTGGGCATTTTACTCTGTTTGGTTTAATTATATACATACATGCACAAATATATACACTCATGCATGGCTGTAAAGTTATGATATGTTTTCCACACACCTATTCTCAGCTACATATAAGATAGGCATGTCCAACTAAGAAAAGCAGGAAAAATTCCTTTACCAACTACATTTTCTTTTTTCTTTTTGATCAACAAAGCTCAATGGCTAGTCGTTAGATTAGCACTTAGGGGGAGTTGAACCTCCAACCTCTCCTTGCAAGCACTCATGTATTGTCTTCATGCCACAAGCCTTGGCCAACACTACATTTTCTTAGACATGTCACTCGTTTGCATCCTTGCTGCGTATATCAGAAGCGTGTACAGATTTATAAGAGAAAACTACATTTATCCCTTGTGGCAGTAACTAATACAGCTATATTTCCAGCAGAGATTATTTATTTATCAACGAACAGCTCCATTAGTAAATTTGAAAAATGGGAAGACACAAAATACAAAACGGTATAATGGTGTGACATTGTGTAAAAGATGACCACCTTAACATCAGTTGTGGGCAATTGCAAAAACAAAGTTTTACATGCCTATCTTTCCCTGTAGCAGTCAAATTGTATTTATAGAAAATTGCACTTACGGATTTGGGATAAATGTACCAAGTAGAAAGCTAATATCGACAAGTAATTTAAGGATACCGAAAGCTAGATTTTGTTCTCACAAATTACAACGTTAAATATAGACATTGGGCTGCCATTTGCACCCCAAAAAAAAAAAAAAAAACGCTAACCCTCAAGTTTAAAAAGCTGAACATGTCAGTTTTGGAGATTTCTGAATAGATTGAATGAAATTAAAATAACCAACTGCACAATGACAGATAATTAAGACAGTAGTAATTAATTGTGAGAATAGGTGAAATAAGTTGGAGGGTTCGCTAAGTACTGAGATCAAGAAAAAGTTTTGTTTCCTTCAAAATTTACTGCTCATACAACCAAGTATATCTTACTACCTTGATATCTTCAGCCATTCTCTCGCTTGTGGTTAGCTGTACACCACGTTTCAGTGCAATCTTTGCAATTGAACTTCTTTCCCAAAACTTGATCATGGCAACAGCCAAACCTTGGTGCTGCCTGCTTCTACCTGGATATGCATAATTTCATAACACAATCAAGATATAAGAACTTGAAAATTGAGTGTTAATCATGAAACGGGAATACCTAAAGCAAAATGCGGAGGAAGAACTCTGGCAAGCCTTCTCAAAGCTGTTGCCTCCTTTCCTGAAAGTGTAGCTCTCACCCCATAAGGAAGAACTCTGAAGGGAGGTTGGTACCCAGGAACAATACCGGGAAGTAAATCTGCATCTACAGGTAACAAATCACCTCCAGGCCAATCTGTGTATCTAGGCCCCAAACTATCTAACAGTTCATCAATTTCATCTTCATACTTCACTTCCTGTGATGATTCTGTGTCTTTTTTCTCCTCAAGAGCACTTCCTGAGTCTCCTTGAGGTGTATGCGCATCATTAACAGAACTATGCTCTGAATAATTTATACTTTTAGCAGTAGCCATTGATAAAGAATTTTGCGAAATCTCATTTCTTTTATGTATCTTCTTGTTTGCTCGCTCTGAGGGAGCCTCGTAGCTCACACCTCTATATAAAGAAACAGAAGTGCCAGACCTCCAAATCACCAACCCACCAGTTTTTCTCTGAAAGCGATCGAAAATGTGGCATCAAATGGATTGGAAACAACTATCTATTGAGATATATCACATGCCACAACTGGAAAACGTGGCATCAGATGGATTGGAAATAACTATCTATTGAGATATATTACATGCCATAACTTTCATTGTTATACTATTCTAAGAAACTCAGATTCTTCTGAAATTAAGACAGCAAATTTAAGATGAATTACTGAACTGTCATTAGTTTGTGTGTGTAATACAGTGAAGAACTGATACAAGAAAGAAGAAAACAGAATAGTCATTCAGAAAGGAGCTCAGCTAGGCACAGGGGTGGAGGGAGGGTTGGCCCTGCCCCCGCGCTTCTACAAAACCTTTTACATATATGTATTAGGCATATGAAGTTTACATACAACTCTATAATTCTTTTGACTTTGTCCCATTTTTTCTGTTTTCTCTCTTTAGTCTTTTCTTCTTTTATTCAAGGGAAAACCCATGATACACACTCCCTTACCAAGTGATGATTTTTTGTGGTGTTAGTAACAAATCATTTTTCATATAAGAAAGATTCAGTTACAAACCATTGTGGCTATGTTATGAACATTAAAATATTTCGAATTATTGTGGTGAAAAAAGTTATGACTCATTGTAATTTTGTTACAAGTCATTGTGGTGTAGTTACGAAAGGGCATATGGTATCTATCTTTTAAGTGTGTGTGTGTACTATAATTTTACCATCCACTTAACTCTATCCCTCTTTCACTCATTACTATAAGACAACTTCAAAAATCTATGTACACAATGCAATTTGTAATTCATTACCATTTATGTACTAGGTGAATTATGTGATATTACTAAGGAAAAAGATCGGGGCCTCGAATTTGAGACCTCAAATGTGGCTCGAATTGGTTTTTTTTTTTTTTTTCTTTTTCTTTGAAACTGTGTTGGTTTGGTTGTTTTTATTATTATTATTTTTATTTATTTGTTGGGTTATGTTAGTTTGGTTGTTTTATTTATTTATTTATTTATTTATTTGTTGGGCTGTTGTATTTTTTTTTTTTTTTTTTTTTTTAAGGATGGTTATGTGTAGGGGTGGGTTTAGAGTTTAGGACTTAAGGTTTAGGTTTTTATTTCTTCCGAGTCTTTCTGATTTGAAATAAAAATATAGTAAAGACTCGTACAAAACTATATGGAATTAACAAATTTTAGCCAGCAGTCTAACTGATCAGTCAATTTATCACCCAATTAGTCTAACCCAACTCACTAATATTATCTAGGGCTGAGCAAGGAATCCGTGAAATCCGTAATCCGATCCAGTCCAGTCCAATCCGATAGGTTTGGATTGATTTTTTGAATCCGTGGTTCGGTTCCGGATTGAAAAATTAAAAATCCGTAGTACACGGATTGGTTCCGGATTGAACCCCACGGTTCCGGATTGGAACTGATTCGGACCGTGTACAAATAGTATATATTTTTATTATACATCCTCCCCCATAGTATCTTCTCTTATTTTATATAAAATCTAAACTCAAACCTAAAACCATAGAATATCTTCTTTTATTACTTTTGTTTGTTAGTTTTTAGTTTTAATTTGTAATGGTCTAAATACTTATGGTGAAACCAGTTTTCTTATGGTTGTTTAAATTCTAGCACAGTATGTCGCTATTATAGAAATAGATGTTGCTATTGTGGAACTAATATAGCGCTATGTTTATATATTTATGAAATTAAAGTGTTATATATATTTTTTTGTTATTTAATTATGTGAATCCGTGGTCCTAAACCGATCCAATCCGTATTTAAATGGATTGGTTCGGATTGGTTCCATGATTTAAACGGATTGGATTGGTTCCAATTTTTCAGGAACCGTAGATGACGGATTGGTCCTGGTTTTACCCCAATCCGGTCCAATCCGAACCATGCTCACCCCTAATATTATCAAGCCACATAGGCTAAATTGCTGTTGTTGTTGTTGTTTTTTTTTTTTTTTTTTTTTTTTTTTTTTTTTTTTTCCTATTTGTTGGGCTATGTTGGTTTGATTTTTTTTTATTAGGATTTAGGTTTTAGGGTATACATAAAAACCCTTCCAAAAAAAAAAAACAAAAATCAACTTTTCGAGGCAAATTCGCGCCTCTCTTTTGAGGCCTTTAGCACGGTTGTATTACTAATTTGCATTTTTTAGTGATAAGTTGTTGAAGTTCAAGTTTCGGGAACAAATTTAGAGTGTTATCATTATTTGCTAGTTTGTCAGTAATAGTGATGTGTTAATTTAATCATTATGTAAGTTGTTTAAACTTGTCTTAACCTGATCACTTGAACCTATCCAATGCTAAGCACCCAATATGGGTTTCAAGAATGGGTTTTTCGATACACATCGGATGCAGCTAGATATTAAAATAATAACCTAATTCTTGGACATCATTAAAAAAAAAAAAAAAAAAGAGGAAAAATTGGAAAACAGAGTTGCAACTAGTTTCAAAAGAAGCTAACCTCCAATATCTCATGCATCCGCTTCATATTAAGTGCAGGCGCACCCTCGATTTTCAATCTCACAACCTCAGATGATTTCCACTTCTCATGAATCAAATCCACAATTGCTTGAGTGACACCAGCACCGCCAATCCTTGTCTTGTTCTTTATCCGAAGAGCTAAATTCTTCAGCCTCCTCAACTCTGATTCCGGAAGAGTCAATTCAGCTAAACAAGTCCTACTCTTTTGCCTCACAGAATTCCTCTTCTCCTCTTCCTTGTCCACTGGCTTCTCCCAAGGAAACCTCACCTCCCCATTACTTCCAAACACATTTTCCACCCCCAACGGCGATTCTGCTGAAAACCCACCTCTTGGATTTGGCAACATACCTTCCTCAACATAAAATATATCCTCAACAGACCCTTTTTCAATCACTCTCTCCCCCTCCTCATTCTTCTCATTCACATCATCCATGTACCCAAATTTCTTCAATTTCTCCACAATCTTCTCCATTGTACTACCACCACCACCACCATCACCACCACTAGAAGAACTAATTTTTATGGAACCTAAATTTGAAGAATTGCCACTATTTCTATAATTCAATACCGCCCTAGGCGGTTTGGGCCGAGTATCATTCCATTTATCTAACCAACTACTACTAGAAGAATTTGAATTAGCCTTTGATTGAGAAATGGGTGTTTCATCAGAAAAACCCCACCTGAGATCCTTGTTTCTGATCAGAAAATTGGATTTTCCTTGTGGGTTTCTTTGTGAGAGTGAGTCTGAGCTTTGAGCCTTGTTTGTGGCACAGAAATTTTGATTCTTGAAAGGAGTGGAAGAACCGTACCTGAAGAATTGCAAGCGCGTGGTGACATGGAGCTTGGAAACTGAGCTCTGGAACGAGTCTAGGAGGGTAGTTGTTGTTGTTGGGTAGAATTGAAGGCTGGGCACAAGTGTCATTGGAGTCTATATTGTATCAATAGGTATATACATATATATATATATATATAGAGAGAGAGAGAGAGAGAGAGAGAGAGAGAGAGAAAGAGATCATCTTTGAAGATTTGCTGAAGGGAATTGAGAATTATGAAGAATAGCTCAAGAATCTACTAATACAAGTGATAATCAAAGCTCTAGGTAAGTATTTAAACTCTAATTCATGAAGTCCATAATTATGTGAATTCAAAAAGAGTATGAACATAAATGCAAGAATTGAGTTGAATATGTGGAGATTAGAATCAATATGTGCATGCATGTGTAAATTTGTTATAATTCCTCATATTTGAGCATGAAACATGATAATCATGTTAAATTGAGAGTTACGTAACACATGCATTCATGAATCATGGGGTTATGAGACTTAGTTTCATGTTTTGAAGATGATTAAACAAGAATTCAAGCTAGATCATACATGCATGAAAGTTTTGAGTTTCATTTTGACAAATTCATGAAGCTTTGGATATGGGAGATATGTTTCATCAGGTATTAATGTTCAGTTACATGTTTTCAAGCTTTTGGACAAGACATGCATGAAATTGGAGCCTTGGAGTTGTGTTTGAAGCTTAAACACAATTCTGGAAATTCCAGAATTCGAGCAGTTCGCTCAAGCATATATTTCGAGCTGCTAGTGCTTTTGCAGACATTGGGGGTTGGCTCGAGTGACCAAAAGACCTCTCGGGCGACCACCCTTTATTTTCAGTCTTAGCTAGAGGGACTGAAAACTTAGCTCGAGTGTAAAATGAGAGCTTCCAGTACTTTGTAGACCAAGGGGTTCGCTTGAGAATCCAATGTTGCGCTCGAGCGAAATACCCTGTTTCAGGAAATTTTGAAAGTTGTTTTGTATTCCAATTTCTATTGTCTTTCATTTATGTGCATTCTTAAGCACACATTGAGCATTCTAAATGAATTAAAGAACTAGAAAGAAACCAAAGAAGATTAAGCAAACTAAGGAACATATTGAATTGTATTATGGCCCAATGTGTTGTGAATTATGTAGGGTCAACTGCAAAGACGATTCAGCCATCTGACCACAGTGAGTAATATCTTAGTAAATATATATTACTCATACTCTATTTTCTAATTGTTCACATGTGGTAAGCTTTTCTGAACTTATGATCTGATAAGTGTGAATGAGTTGCCATCTTCTGTCAAAACGATATACTAACAATGTGATATTAACAAGAGTATTATCTGTAAAAGAGAACGACATGATGTAGACATGAACTAAGGTCATTCTGTATACTAGATTAGTGGACCCAAGGTCGTTCTGGATCTCTGATAATACTAAATGACTGATATGGTATGATTGAATCTCTGATAAGACTAAATGATTGATATGCAATTGCAAAATTGAATGGCCATTATATACTGTAAATGCTTGGACCCAAGGTCGTACTGATAAGAGATGACTGAATTCGATCAGTGAGTCCGTTAACTGTTGGACCTGAGGTCATATTGTACATTGTTGGGCCTAAGGCCGTTTTTTTGAGTAATGATTGAAGTCGTACTGTATATTCTGCTATCTCTTGGACCTAATGTTGTTCCATCGCATGTTGGACCCAAGGTCATTCTGATGTAAAATGTTTATTGATTATATATGCTCATTGATTAAATATGCTTATCTGTTAAAAAGGGGCTCATTCACTCAACCCCTTTACTTTAGTATTATTTATTAGACGTTAGCTCACTCTTTATTTATATGTATGTAGATGAGCAGCGGGATGTCCTGCCTCAACCCTAGTGAACCCATTAAGGATATCAGATACCGTGGAGTCTGCTATGGATGCCTCCCATGCGAGGCTTTGTTTATGATTTTCCTTTTGTTTACTTTTGTGGTCCCGTAGGACGAAGTCTATATCTAAATATGTAACTTAGTATCTACTAAGTCTATTTCTAGAATGATCTTGGATATATGTATATCTATATTTGTTGTATGGTGTCAGTTATTAATATAATGTTCAAAGTTTTTGTAATGCCATATATACACAGCTCATTGGACAAAATTTCTAGTTCTGTTTTCTCATCTGGCCTTCTATTAATATTAAATATGATTGATTTCTGTTTGAGGTCGTACGTAATCTCATGATTACTGGCCGATTATGATCCTAACCTATAGAGG